TTAATTTGGATAATTACTGTAATTTTGTATTGTTACAATACACAATTCTTAACGACTTTTTTTAATATAATGTTAGCGTGACTAGCGAGCAAACAGTAGATTATACTTATGGCTCATGGACACATCTACCCTCGATTAAGAATCAAAATGTATATTTTGTTACCTTGAGATAGAATGCCTAGTTACCAACAAAAATAATCTCCGGATCTCTAAACTCAACATACGAAACACAGCAGCATTGAGCTGCTATTTTAAGCTGGTACTATGTGACAGCGTGGTCCCTCCCTGGTCGAGCTGACCCATTCATTCTGCAAACATGATACCTACAGCTGCAGCACGGCTCTACCACGTAAAAAAGTCCAGCTGTGTCTCTCGGGGTCTTCCCAAGATATAAGTATTTTCCGAAACAAAGCTAAATTAAACGTAAAATGATGATGATGAACTACACAGGCCGGACTATCTAACGTTTGGAATTGGAACAATATGTTATTTTGAGATTGGAAGTTTTGATGATATTTTCGATGTGACAGAAAATTAGTTTTATGTTTGACATTTATGAAATGGGCCGCTTTTCGCTTGAACAAAGTTGGGTAAATATTGAAAACTTATTTCCGAAGTGTTGAGTCTCCTACTCAAACTGTAAAAAAATTAACGAAATAAATTTGACAAAAAAAAATTTGCTAAAACGCTTTTTGTTGATCAATTTGTGAAGCGAATTCGTGAAACTGATTCGTTGTTGGATAAAACAACCCGTGTACGTACTTGTACAGTGCGCTCAACCCAAAACTTCGCTGCTGTTGCTCTGTGTGCGTGAACAACCATCAACATCAACTCGTCTTCGTTCTCAAGAATTGAACATTTCACGCCCGTCTTTGAGAAGAATTTTGCATAAAACCTCGGTATAAATGCGTACAAAGTTCAATTAGTGCAAGGGCTGAAGCCAGCATGACCATCCGATTCGTTACCGGTTTGCCAATGGGCCGAAGACCGCTGGATCGAAGATTAGCATTTTTACCGAATAATTATCTTTTCAGATGAAGCTCATTTCCACCTCGGAGGATACGTCAATAAGCAAAATTTTCGTATCAAAAAATCCACACGCCATCGTGGAGAAACCAATGCATCCACAAAGAGTGACTGGTGCAGATTTTGGTCTGGCGGTATTATTGTGCCATTTTCCTTCGAAAATGAGCAAGAAAACTCAAAACAGTGAATGGCGATCACAACCGCGCCATGCTAAGCGATATTTTGTTTCCCAAAATTGAAGAGAATGACATAGACGACATTTTTGGTTTCAGCGGGACGGCGCAACGTGCCACACAGCCAACGTAACAATCGATATTTTGCGCACTGTTTTCGAAAATCGCATAATTAGCCGAAATGCTGATGTTAATTGGCCACCTCGAAGCTGCGATTTGACTATGTGGCACTTTTTTTGTTGGGAGCCGTTAAGGACAATTGTTACGCTAACCATCGAGAGACGATTGACGACTAGAAACATGAAATCGAATTTGCTATTGACGAAATAGTGGCCCAAACAATCGAAAATGTACTGAAAGATTGGATTGATCGAATGGGGTATTGTAAGGCTAACCGTGGCCGTCATTTGAATGATGTTGTTTTCCATTCCTAAACGAAAAGGTTCAATCGTTCTAATAAAATCATAACTTTGAAAAAATATTCATAATTTTTTTTTGGTCTCTGCTTCTCGTTCGTTATACGGAATAGCCTTAGCTCTCTCGTTCGCTATACCTATAACCTTCCTTGGTCGAACCGACCCACTACTGTTGCAACCATAATGAGCGTGTTATGGCTGTAGCCATGGCAGCGTGCATGAGTGGCTCTACCACGTTGAAGTAATTAATCTCCAGATTTATCAAGAGTTACATGTTATGTAAAATTTATTTCAAACTAGCTTACTACAACTAACTAAAATAAGAACGAAAACACGGTAAAGGTACATAAACTGCAACTCCTAAAAATTTTATGTAGGTATTTAATATATTATCGACATTTAGAAACAAATTCTTGTTTTTGATCAAGTAGTACAAGCTTTTCTGTAACAGTTTCGTTCGGACTTTCACTTACGATTATCCTTCATTGTCTCAAAATATTGAAGGATGCTTGACCTCGCTCTATTGCATAACTACAGCACATCTATTTAATATGGCCAAACTTTACTGCATCTGAATCTAAGGTTATTTCTCCAAGTTTGCATACACAAAGCTAAAATAGGCTGTACCGTTTTATTTATATTTTTGAAGATTTTGAGCTTTTCGAAACTTGTTCGTTATCCCATTGGCGGCCATATTGTGTGCGTCATCAAGTTTATGTTATTGAAGTCTATATAAAAACTTGCTAGTAAATTATAAGAGAAAGCTGTTGTTTTATTTAAAAATGTATTTTATAAATTCTTTGTTTGTACCCTTAATAGTAACAACTATACATGGTTATTTGGTTGTATACATGGCCAAAATCGGTTATTGGGTTTTTCTGTAAAGAAATTCTCAGCCCGGCTACCATAGGCGGGGGACAATTTTATCCCCGGGGAAAGGAGAAAATGTTTATCCCCTCGCTTAATTTTATCAACCCTTAGAGTATAGGCACACCGGTGGATATAATATCCACAGTAGATTAATTAGGAGATAGATTTAGACTTAGATAGATTTTTTTGTATGAATATAAACTTCAACCCACGTCCAATGAACTATTATAAAATTGACCCTTTCAAATGTCAAAAAAGCATAATTTTTTATCTTTCATTTGGCTCCATGCTACGGACGGGGGATATATGCCTACTCGTTATGTCAAACGGGGATATACTTCTTCCCGTTTGACATAACAAGATAATTTTATCTTTTGTCAGTGGATATAATCGGGGGATAAAATTTTTGTCCCCCGCCTATGCTAGCCGGGCAGGAGCAGTTGTTGTATTATTATTTATTCTGTGGTAGCAGCCAGGGGTCAGGTAGTTGGCGGTACTTTCCGAGGCACGGGGTCAATCCCGTGACTCGGAAAGCACGTAAAGCTGTTGGTCCTGCGCTGGATTACTGTCCCGTCGGACTATGATACGATAGAGCACTGTAATCCTATCTTGCGCAGATTGCTAGTCTCCGTTGAGACTGGCCGCTTGACCGAAATTCACACGCCCATACGTGGCCATAGTTTGTCGAATATCTTCGAGACGTTGAAATCGATGCTATGACAACCAGCGTGCTCGCCCGACTTAACCCCATAGAGCTTGTATGGGATAAGCTTGGAAGACAAATTAATTAAATTAAAAAGTAATCCTGACCCAGTTAATTTGAGAGATATTAAAAACACATTACAGAAAGAATGGAACGCAATCTCTCAAGATTTTATTAATAAATTGATAAGAAGTAAGGAGACTGAAAAAGAGCTAGAAGGTCATCACTAAGTACTTACTAATTATAGACCACATTATAGCTTTTCCTAAGCATTTATGAAAAAATTATTTTATGTACACAAATGTTTCTTAGCTGTAAAATTTTTCTTAATTTGGTTGAATTAATTTTGTCATTTGGTCGTTTGTTGTTTTCGACGATTGCAATTTTAAATTAAGAAATAATAAGCAAAATTCCAATTAATGAACTTAATTGTCCCAAATATCCATGATATTTCCTTTAATATACTTTTTTTGCGTTTCTCCAAATTTGTCGAGGAATATATTATGCATATTAATATTTTACATATTATGTATAGATAATTATTACGATGAATAGATAAAGTAAAAGTAACCTTTGATATTTGGTTAGATGCGTTAATATTAGATACATATTTGTTATGCTCACTTAAGTGTTATGTAAATTGTTACTTATATCCGGGTACGACCTCTAGAAGGTCTCCATTCCTATGGTATAGCTAAGTTCTATGTTGATGTGGTATAGGTAGGAGCGGAGAGGTAACTCCACATACATCTTCTCTTACATTGGAAGTGAAAGTGAACGAATGTCGGAGTCGGAGGCTTAATTACAGAGGACGACAGCGGCAGCGCCAGTTCCTCTGTAACTGTCGCGTTCGTTGCACGCGCTTTGCGTATACACCCATACGCTTGGACTCGCAAGAACCGCTTCGACATTTGCCACTCACCCTTAAACAGAGGTACGCAAGTGCAACAATTTTGAAGTGATTTTATTGAATACAACAATTTTTGACGCTCAGTCCAAAAAAATAATAATCATAACAGCATTGAGTTGCGTGTGGTGAAAAATAATAAATTAAAAATTGCATGCTGCGCTTTTCGGCAATGTTTATATTTTTTAATTGTTCTGTATTGATGTGATATTTTTTGCTTATAAAAGAGTGCGGCATTTGCACCTTTTTTACATTTTCTAGAATAAATACTATAATAATAATAATAAAAATCACGAAGTAGATGTGAGCTAGAGGTTTTACATCGCTGGTATTTATAATTTATTCATTTAATGGTGTTTAGAAAAACAAATCACCTAAATAAAACAGCATTGTATCCGTAAACCGTTGTCATCCCTAGTTACTTGAGGATAGCGCCTCAAATACCTACTTCGCCACTTTCCGAACCTACTATAATATATTGCGTCCTAAATTGACGATTACTCGCGCTCAACACTTACTACTTTTCACGTAAACCTTTAAGCTCGTAGCAAGCGGGTCAGCGCGGCAAGTTTTGCTTTCACAAATACAACAAAATAAATTCATCTCACGTATCGATTGTCCTCAGGCAGTCGTGGTCTGCATAAAAGAAAGCGAAGTCATAAACGGGCATGCCGCATTAGTTATGACCAATATAGCTTATGATGTATGGTTTGAGCCGTATCGTCGATAACTGATGGTAAACAGTGATCAGTCTTAGTAGTATCACTATTTTTGCCCAAAAGAAAATACATATTAGATAACACACATTTTGTTAGTGACGAATATATTGATGTAAATAACTAGTTATAATATAGCGTCTGTGTAAGCAATCGTTATTATCATTGTTACATTTTTGCCTATCACAGATGAGCCGGCAAGTTACTCTGGCAACCGCCGCACTGCTGGCGGTGATGTGCTGCGTCGACGCCCAGCGTCGTTTGGCTCTTCCTGACCCAAAAAGTTGCGCCAACAGTATGTATACAAATAATTTTACATTAAAAAATACTTAATTTAGAAAATTTGCATTTTTTTAAATAAATTAATATTTATTATCGTTGCTAAAGTAAAATATCATGAATGTGCTGGATATATACTTTTGAATTAGGATGATTTAAAAAAAAATGTTTTATTATTGTAAAGTTGGATATAGCATAGTTCCATGCAGTTACAAACGTTTTGTTGTTGACATGTTAGGTAATATACATTTGTTAAAATATTTATCCATGCTGGATGGATGCTGGAGTGCAGAGTGCACATGTCCGTAGAATTTCAAACTACATATTATTTTGATGAAATTCCTGCAAATGATTGCTCGCCAGATCCAAGTTCACCAGTTAAGCTGGAAACTTTCCGATCCGTGAAGATACTTTTAGGTATTGTGTTATAATTCTGCTCATAATAATTCTTTTCAAGGAATAAATAAAAAAATATTCCACAAATTCTTTTTTTTAATAAACTGAAGTGACAAACGAACTCACAGTCCACTTGACGGTAAGCGGCTTCTGCAGTCTATAGACACCCGTAGCCAACTTCATACGAAGATGCTTGAAGGGAAGCTACAGGCTTTTTATTCTGGTTCTATGCCATCCAGACCGCAACACAGCACGTACTTGGCGGCAGAAATAGGTAAGTTGGTGGTGCTTACCCTGGCGGATTCCTAGGCAGAAAGAGTCCTACGGATTCCTAGGCAGAAAGAGTCCTACCAACTAGTAAAAAAAGTGGGTCGGGTCGGGTAACACTCCGCCACTAAATAAAGATACCGTCGTCAGCGACGGTGCTGACAGATAAAAAAAAATGTTTTAAAGCAAACTGTAGTAAAATATTTTATTTAAATATCTGTTTATTACCCTTTATCACATTTTGCTATGTAATAAATATGCTGTTATGGTACTTCGTAAATGTTTTTTTTTTTATATTATCTAGGCAATTTTTTGATGCTCTTTTCTGATCTAAGTAATTCGACTACAGTCGCACCTTACTGATCACTGTCGGAAGCTATTCAACTGCTTAAACATACAAAGACTATGTATAATAAAATATAAATGTACAATTAAAGATAATAATAAATGTGTATTTTAATTACTTTAATTCAGATTAATATAAAAATAACATTTATTGAAAATCATGTTTAATCTCATGATCTCCATCCTAGAAAGTACCTACCAACAAGAAACCAGCGGAACTTTTCTTACATAGTAATAGTTTGCAATATTTAATATTTTGTTGTAAACACAGAATAAATAATAGTTAAAAGAATTTATAAAATTTATACAGTACCTATTTTTTCAATTTTAATTATTGTATTATTTATGCCTCCTTTTTTATAGAATAAGGGTGAAAAACGAGCACACAGTCCACGTGATGGTAAGTGGTTGCTGCGGCCCATAGACATCTACATCTATCCTCTATTACAAATCAAAATGCAGATGCGTTTTCACCCGTGAGGACTAGGATGGAATGCCTCATTTCCAGCAAAAAGGGCCTCCGGCCACCTGCACTCACCAAGCGAAACGCAGAGGTAAACCTCTACTTCACGCTGGTATTATGTGAGGTCGTGGTACCACCCCGGTTCGAGCCGAGCCATCCGTGCGACATCAAAAGCTGCCGCCTGGCTCTACCACTGTTAAAATATAAGCCTCTATAATATATGTGATAAAATAGAGCTAATCTAAGATGCAATGTTAGAAACACGGGTACAGTCAAAACATAATCGGACCATAAATAAAATTACAGCTGTAATTCGAACTTAAGAGCTGTACTTTACTTGACTAATTCAGGTATGCTAACCATCAGGTCCTCGTACGTAAACATTACAGAGGTATATTATGTTTGCACATGCATATTCATTTATTGCTTCGGGCTTCTCGCTTGTCTCTCAACAGTGTTGTAACTGAGAACGAGAAGCAAATGTTTGCCATCGTTGAATACATAGATACTGCTTCACATACATCACACTTAGCTACTCAGCCAAGGTCCAGTGAATCTTCAATGGTCACATGATCTCAATCGTCATGTCCTTTCTAACATAAGTACTTAATAGTAGCTCAGTAACTAGTTGCTCACCTTGCAAGTTAATTGCTCTATGTAACAAAAATTGACGATTCCACATTGAAGATGTGCTAAGGTTTCGCCGCTCACTCTCACGGCAATCCGATTTATAATTTGCGTAAATTTTAGATAACGTGTAGTTTACCAATAACTGATAATTTTACCCTACATTTTTAGATATTATTCTAAGTCTATATACTTATACTTTCGTACTTAATTTTACTATTATTAAATAATGTCTAGGTCTAATATATAATTACGTCATCATGCTACCCCAAATTTGTACAAATACAACAAAATCGTTGTGGTTTTATTAATGGTGTATGTATTTCATCGTAAAGCTGTGCCCGTTTCGACAGGATCATGTGGGAGTGTACTGATCACAATTGGCTTGATAGTAAGCTGCACACAATAACAATAAAGACCTTTTGTTGAAGTTTGTTCGTAAAGGTATATATCGGTTAGTTTGTCAATTTTACCACACCTCATTTATTTCGTTGCGTTTCTATTTACCAATATGTCGCTGTAGGTAAAGTTACCATTACGTGTATATGTTTACAATAATTTATGGTAAGATATTCGAAAATAAAATGCGTATTTCTTTATTTTAATCCAAATATCCATTTTTTACTCTTAAAAATTTACTATTAAGGTAAAATTTATTCTTAAAACGTGGGTGCAAAGTTTGTATGAAAAATACATGAAAAATATTGTATTGTATCCAATTTTTCAAACTACAAGTATCATTTAACAATTTTTCTCAATACAAAAATAAATTCACACCGTAAATAACTTAAATGAAACAAAAGGAGCTGAAGATCTTCAAACGGCTGATCAGATTGTCTCGAAACATAGAGCAAAGGACACTCTCGATTAAGACACCTTTTAAACGAAAAAAGAAACTTAATCAACATCCGTTCATCCGTTCAGGAGCTATGATGCCACAGACAGACATATAGATACACAGTACAAACTTATAAAACCCCTCTGTTTTCGTCGAGAGGTAAATAAAAAGTTTTGTACAGACTATAACACCCTAGTCCACCTTGTAAGGGCTTGAATTTTCCGAAATCCTTTCTTAGTAGATGCCTACTTTATAAAAGGCAGCTACTGTCTAAATTACAAATTTGTACGTTTAGCGGTTTGGGCTGTGCGTTGATAGATGAGTCAGTTACGTAGCATTTAATTATTTACTAAACGTTTCTCATCCTTATCGTCTCCAGTTTATAATATTTCGTGGTCGAATAGACAGCTGTTTCAAAACCGTAAAAATTGGATCAAGCGCCTTGCTTAGCTAACGTTACACCAGACTCGTACCTATTATCTTGACGTGGTTGCAGCTCTTCGTTAATTTTTGGTCCCACAATTTTAATAATACAGCAAACCTGCAAATCGACGGCACCATGAGATTTCCCGCTCATTTCCCTTATCCACCTTCCATCAAAATGAGGTGCTCTTACGCCGGCATGAATCAATTTCTTAAACATTTTATTACTTTTCACGAGTTATGTAACTAAGGAAATAGGTTATCGAAAGCAACTATTTATATATAGGCAAGCATTTGTAAATTTTATGAGACTTAATTTGTCTTTCAAATTTCGATTGTTGAAATTAAAGCAACCTTAAAATATTTTAACAAATGCCAAATGTTGATAAGTACGTTGGTTTGATTTTGATTTCATCGAAACGACATGTAAACGAGTAGACTGTACATATCGTATCCTAGCTGTTCTTGAGTTCTGTGCACAGAAATCAATTACTCTCGTTCTGTGTGTAAGACACTGTTATAGACTTAAAGAAGGGTGTAGAAGTTACATCTTTCAATTAATTAAGTAAATAATAAATTATCTAATCTAACATTTTGAAAGTTCTAATGCACTTAGTACATTAAATAAATATCAATTTGATGGGAATGTTGACATTGTTTTAAACCTACGTTTAAGTTTTCACTTGTGTTGTATTATAAAATGCTTAAAAATAAATATTCTTGCGTAAAATGTTCGACAATTGATTAACGGTTAAAATTATGACCAATGTATTATATAACTAAGTTAACCACTTGTTAAAAAGGGAAATTCTTTTAAACTTTTACTTACAACTTTCTCTATTGAAAATAAAAATTTATGACTATGCGTATCTAACACGTTCATTTGTAGGGGACACAATCATTGCATAACTTGAAGAAATTATTAGACTACCTACAAAAAATTTACTGTTATGATGAAAAAAAAACAAAATTTCAAATCGGTTATTTAACTTTTTATTTTCATTAACTACACCTCTCTTTACTTTGTGCCAACTCACTCTTGCGTAAAATACCTTTTACAAATATAATTAACGGAAGCTTAACGTTCTCGTTGTGTAATTATTTAAAAGAGATGTGCAGAAAACAAAACATATCTGACCCAACCCTAACTTAACAAAGAATACTTTCTCTCTGGTTACGAAAGAGCCACTTCACTGATCGACCTGCTGGTGAACTTGTTCAACTTGTTTTGATTATTGTATATCGTTTCATCGTTTCACATCACGTTGTGAGAGGGTTGTAATTGTACTTGTAATAGATAGATTTTAAACACCTAAGTTGTGTTTACTTTCCAAATTAGTTTTTACATAAGATTTCATGTAGGTATACGGGTTAGATTATTATTATTATTATAAGCCATGTTGTTTTTTTTTGTAAAACTTTTTCGTACCTTTAGTAATAAACATAATAAACGATAGATATGAATTTAAATACATTTTAAAATTACCTACAATACAATAAGTAGTTAATGACAGTGGCTTAGTAATGAATTGCAGCGGTAAGGGCTGCGGGTTCGAATCCCGCTCGGATCAAATATTTGTATGGCCTACAAATAATTATTCTGGGTCTGGATGTTTGTCCTTGTGAAATTTATATATGAAAACTGCCCCCAATATACAGAAGAAAATCCTTGTGTGGAGGTAACGTTTTAAAAGAAGTACAAAAAAAGTGTTAATTTTTATAAGATGAATAATAGTGAACGTATTTAGATAAAAAGCTTTAAATAGATATTTAGTGTATGTGGTTTAGTTTAGGCACAAACCTATTTAGCCATTGTAATGATTACTATTGTGGGAATCAGCACATGCCCACACCATTGTGCAAAGTGTTAAGACGTTCTAGTATGAAGGTAACACTATTTCGCAATGGGTCTATTGTAACTGGTAATCATTTGCTTTTGTGTCATCGTTCAAAATCAGAATCCAATTTTAACAAATCGTTTTCAGTCGAGTTGGTGGAGAAGCCATTTCAAATTTTCAGACCGCGTGGGACTTGTGTCACAGCTCATCTTTTGTCTGCATCTAACACCACATTGTAAAACTGCACACTTACTTGATTTTCAAAAAACTACGACTGATTACAGTTGTTCGAAAAATACATAATTTAAAATTTTGTACAACCGAATTCAATATAAATTATTAAGAATAACTCAAATATTATTAGTCAGACCTTGATCAAATTTATATGGGACCACAAGTGAAGCACCAGCTTTCAAATAAAGAAGCATCGAAATCGGTTTACCCAGTACAAAGTAATGACGTAACACTCAAAAAAAAAGAAAAAAAAACATACAGTCGAATTGAGTACCGTCTCCTTTTTGAAGTCGGTAGAAAATTTGAAGCATTTTCTTTCATATATGGACTGTCAGTAAGCCGTTATAGTCTCTCTTCAGCGGTATCCGTTTGACTGTTAACATTTTGCGCATAACGATTTGGTTTTTCTTTATACAAAAAGACTAGACTACAAATGTCCTTTTTTCATCGGATTGATTGCTTTTTCTTATCGACAACCACGTCTATCCAAGTAGAGAACGAGTACGAAACTAAACTGACAAACTTCACCAATTTTTTGAAAAATTGTCTTCAAATCTACTGGATTCAAAATGTTTTTAAGTAATAATTAAGAATCAAAATGTAAAGAGGCCTAAGATGGAATATCTCGTTAAGTCGTTACCTACCAGTGAAAATGGTCTCCGGTTCTCGTCACTTATCCTACGAAACAAAGGTACAGTAATTGTGGTCCTTCCTAAGGTCGAGCGAATACACACGGGTTGTAGAAATAATATAGAGCAGGCAGCCTATAGCATATTATCATCACTACGTATCATGTACGATACCTATATCAGTAGCAAATAATGCCACTTTCGAATCACTGACGATATCTTTATGGCAAAATCGCTGTAAGACTTTAAGACAATACAAAATGACCTCAATCGTGCGTTATCACCCTCGAGGACAAAGACAAAATACCTCGTAACTAGCAAAAAGAGTCTCCAGTTCCCGCCATTCACCGTACGAAACACGGTAAACATTATGCTATTTTTTCACGCTGTTCTGTGCAAGCGTGGTCCTTTTTCGGACGATCCGGGAACCATACGTGCTGCATTCATTACAAAATCGCTGTAAGACATTTAATACTATGCTTAATGACCTCAGTCGAGTCTCAAAAGTCGGTCTTTAAAATAAACATGGACATGATGAAGATTATGTCTAAGGTCCAGAATCCTGTACCTACCTTTTAGTTGTAGTGTTAACGCACGGTGATAAAAATGACTACCTCGTTGGTCTAGTGCTCGTGGGTGCGTCTGCTGATAATGTGGGCCCGGCTTGAATCCCGGGTTCAGCCGAGATCACAGTTATTGGGTATTTCTGTTAAAAAATTCTCGGGAGGAATCCAAAGTCAGGAAGTTAGCAGTGTTTCATCCCTGGGCTCGTAAAGTGCACTATAATCCTGTCGTGAGTAGATGCCTAGTCTCCGTTAAGACCGGCTGCCACGACAGAAATTCATTCTAGGGGACATTTTTTTAACGCTAAAAGTTGTTGACGAGTGGTACTAAATTTTTCTATGTAGGCAAAACTTCATAATTCTCTACCGCGGGGGCGCGTAGGTAGTGCCAGACTCTTAGTTGCTTAAATCTCAATTTGCTGAGGCTACGGGAACAATTTCACACACTATTATAGCTCCGACTCATTTTAGGCACTGAGGCCTTCGCAAGAAGTCCATAGTTGGCACTAAAGTCCACCTCCTAACTTACCCATACTCATCTTCAAACAAAACGCGCCAGAACACAAGGCGCACCATCCTACACGGCTTAGGGTAGAGGCGAAGATAAACAATCTTCTCAGTGGTCGAGCCAGAGGTACGGTGGATGAAGCGGGTGGCGTATCACCATACTAACACTCCTGCTTCCCCGCAACTTCGCCTTGAGGTACGTCAGGTAGGGTGAGAGAAGAGGTTGCTCAGTGGGCTATTAGAAGAACTTCTGCGTAGTAAGACTTGTAAAGAGTCAATAATTGCAGGTGGTCATATTCAGAACTGTGGGTTGTTGCAGTCTTTGTGGGACCTCAAATGGACTGCTATGATGAAGGGTTCATGTGATTGGTCAATAAATGCTTTTAATGATTTTTTTTTGTTAACAGGAGTTCGCCACTCTACGTACCGCGACGCCCGCGGTGTTCTCCATTCTTACTTCTTTAGTTGGGAACATGCCCCTACTCGTAACCTGGAAGTAGACTGGCTTGACGCCAGAAATATTTGCCGTCGTCACTGCATGGACACGGTTTCAATGGAAACTCCACAGGTAAAAAAAATATTTAATTTTTTGCGCACTCTGCAGACACTAATCACAAAGAGACAGTACCCCCTCCCCCCCATGACCATGTGTGCTGTAAAGTGTCCGAAACGTCGGGAATATAAAATAAGTTAATATACGCGATAGAATCAGTAAAACTACTTTTTTTATAAGATAAGGGTGACAAACGAGCACACAGTCCACCTGATGGTAAATGGTTGCTGCGACCCATAGACATCTACATCTATCCTCTGTTACAAATCAAAATGTAGATGCGTTGTCACCCGTGAGGACTAAGATGGAATACCTCATTTCCAGTAAAAAGGGCCTCCGACCACCTGCACTCACCAAGCGAAACGCAGAGGTAAACCTCTACTTCACGCTGGTTTTCTGTGAGGTCGTGGTACTACCCCGGTTCGAGCCGGCCCATTCGTGCGACAGCAAAAGCTGCCACGTGGCTCTACCACTGTTAAAACTAGTTTCATTTAAATGTGTAGTGTACGCGTATAGCGCTAAGCATATTTACCGGGCCAGCTAAACCCGCACCCGTGCCCGCGATATCCGCAGATGTGACACAGTTTTTGTTCTAGATTGCTGGTCTGTAGTGTACATAATATTACATAGAAGTCTTTGGATAAAAGTTATCCGTCAACTCCATCAAATAAAACATGACTGAATTGAAAAGTAAGACAATTGAACTAGAAATTAAAAGTTTAGCAAAAGATGTCAGTACCTACTTGCATTTCTATCAGACATTTGTAGTAGGTAGGTATATTAAGAACACATATTTTCATTATTATTTTGAGATAGACAAAAACAAGCAATAATAATAATTAAAACTTAGTACTACTAATTATAATTTAATTCACGAAAAACTCGTGAAAAACAAAGTGGCTCAGTACCGTGCTCTGCGGCAAACTATGAAGGTATTGCTCAACATGTATGATGTAACAAGAAACAAGTAGACTTGTGATAGGCTGTAATGATGATGATGATGAGACTGATGAGGGGAGCAGCATCAAAGGGGCGAGGCGTTTAGTATTACGTTCGCCGATCAGCCTGCAAAGCTATGATTAACGCAAATTATTTCGACAACAAGAGAGGTCCACGTTCAAAAGCTAATAAAGAAGACGAAGATAGAAACATTTTACCTCTCATGAGTTACTATGCATCTATATCATAATTTAAATATAGATAGGCTCATAATGTAATACCGGTTCACTTTTTTACCGTACGGGAAACAACAGGATTTATGTGAGTATAGTCTATAGAGGCCTATGAAGAAGAAGCATAGATAATTTTCAAACTTAGTTATTTTTATTTACATATTACATATTATGGAAATGATCTATCAACAAATACATCTATAAACTATTACTAGTTTGAATTAAACTTTTTTCCCTAGCGGTCAGTCAAGGCAAAGGATGTCACTGATTTATTGATAATTGCCACGCGAATAGTAGGGTGCATTTATATTATAATATGATGTGCATTTATACGATGTTTTTAATCGCTTTATTTATATCTTTTTTACAAAATTATAATTTTTACTTACTAAAAACAACTACATATAATAAGCTTCTAACAGATGACACCCTATTTTATCCCTAAGGTAAAAAAGTCAGCCACTAACCTATTGAAAAAGTGATTGACTAACTCCAGAGATCCATTTGCGGGAACGAACCAAAGTTGTAATGATATCTAAAATACATTCGATCGTTTGTTCGTCGTCGTTATCTCCAGTGTACCCGAGATTTTAACTTTTAACCGGATTACGATGAAATTACAGGGGAGGTACTGAATTCTGATGACCGGCAGGTTATTAGAAGTAGCAACTGGTAAGGTTCTTAAAGACCATCAGAATTTTGTATATAATTCCGTCCTTCGTTTCTCAAGATTCATCGAGCAGAAGTGTAGTTATTTTTCAAGTAAGCCGATAACAACATGCTGAGGAACTACAATTTGCGATTTCTCTTGACTTTCATCTACGTGCTGTTTTCGAGTTTCGAATCACAAATCGTCTCGCACGACTTTACTACTTCCTGTCTCCCAGACATGCCTATTCAGAATTCAGCTTAATTTTATATAAGACTAGCGATCTGCCGCGGCTTTGCAGGTTTTCACTGGATCTCGACAACACCGCCTTTTACCGGTCCTATTGTGAATCTATACCATCCACGAACCCATACAAACGCACACAAAAATTTCATCTAAATAGGTCGAGTCGTTTTTGAGTTTTAGCAAAATTAACGGACGAAAATTATATACAGAGATGTAAATTAAAATATTGTTTAATTAGGTACATGTGAATGTACATATCTTATGGCAGGTCATATGAAAGACTGAGGAACATCTTTCATTGGGTCCAACGTATAACGAAGATTAAGTCGAAATTTAGACAGTTCCTACCGCAATAATGTAGGTATTAATTAGGGGTATATTGAGGTGCTGAACGATTGTGTAACTCTGGTGAGTATCGTTCTCGTATCAATAATAACGCAACTACGTTTTTTTCATTACGACAACCATTTTTAACCTAAAATAAAATGCCAGTCTATTGGAAACTGTATAGAACCTCTGAGCAAAAGTGACGTTTGATCATCGTGAGTTCTTTCTTATAAAAAATTAAACTCTAATTATTGTTAGTGACACGGAGTATAAAAATGTATCATGAACTACTCCTACCACAAGAATTGTAGCTTAGTTGAACTAGGGGGTTCTCTTAAAATATCTCCAACTAGTAATTTCCTGGTTTCGTAGTTATTTGTATGATTGCCGACAAAGTATTCGTTTCCAGGATAGAGTTCTTCGTGGCTTGATTCTGTAGCCGGCGTCGTCTTATTATTGACGATTTATATGAATACCATTATATCCCAGATATCTCTACCTGTATGCAGATGGTTCCAATTTTTTTATTCAATTAACAAGAAAAAACCATTAGGTATTTTTCTAAAGCAGCTAATAATATAAAAAGGATCTGAAATGATGTATTTGTTTTTATTTTTATATAAGATAAGGATAACAAACGAGCACACAGTCCACCTGATGGTAAGTGGTTGCTGTGGCCCATAGACACCTACATTTATCCTCGTTTACGAATCAAAATGCAGATGCGTTGTCACCCGTGAGAACTAAGATGGAATTCCTCTTTTCCAGTAAAAAGGGTCTCCGGTTCTTTACACTCTCCATACGAAACACAGCAGGATTAAGCTGCTATTTTACGCTGGTATTCTGTGAGAGCGTGGTCCTTCCCCGGTCGAGCCGATCCATTCGTGCTACTGGCTCTACCACGTACAAAGTATTCTCGTTTGTGTTTCGTACACAGACGAGAATACATCATGTCAGATCATTTTTATACAGTACCTACAGTTGGGAAATTGATCAGAAAATAATGATCTGTAAATAAAAATAAAAAATCAATTAAAACCCGTTATTTTTAATTGTCCTTATTCCAGAAAACATTTTGATACTAAAATTACACTTGTCACATCTTTACTAAACTCTGACCTCGTCTATGTTGTAGTTTGTTATCCCGTTCACTGAAGAGCAACCTAATAAACTTGAGCCGCTTGAGTGTCCCTAAAGTCTCTGTATACACAGAATAAATAATAGCTGTATATGATTCATATTATTTGGACTACGTTATTCTATATGTCTCAGTACACAACACTAAGCTCAAATAGTCCCTAATCCGTTTTCGTTGGAATTCTCACATTGTTTCTGCTCTCTACTATGTCTAACCTATTATGTATGTTTCAATTTGATTTTTTTTTTATATTATCCAGTCTCGAATCCCGACTTCTGTATAAATTTGTAAGAAATAAATTGTAAATTTAATTAAAAGCATGCATACATCATGCTTTCCATAAAACATCTCATCACACAACAATGTGACACACCCGCGAGCCGCGAGGAATATTCCGATCTCTTCGCAAAGGTCCACTTTCTACTAAAGTATTCAACATTTCTTACGGTATGAATGCTACCGCGCGATGGACGCCATTATCACATAATTCGGTATTACAGATATAAACATATATTATAAAAATTACAGACTTTTATAACTATTTTGACACTATAGAGGAGAAAATATACGTAGATCCTGTTTCAGGTACCATTGCAAATAGTAACATAATTCTTATCAAAAACTTTAATTGATTATATTTTTATCAAACTTTACATGTTAAACAAATGTTTAAAATATTATACATTCTTTAAGCAATTTTAATGTAAAGTTTGTTCTGATCTCCGAATCTCTGACTTCTATTACGGTAAGGTATACGTACCTCACGCAATCACTTGTCGACATAATGCAACGGGGTCATTCGCGGTGATGATGCGTTCACTTTCCCAAAATCAATATTGGCTATTTTGTAATTGTATTCAAGGCATTCATTGTATTTTAACCGACTTCAAAAAAGGAGGAGGTACTCAATTCGACTGTTTTTTTATGTGTGTTACCTCAAAACTTTTTTCTTGGTGAACCAATTTTGATGATTTTTGTTGCTTCTCATGTGGTCCCATATAAATTTGATCAAGATCTGACCAGTAGTTTTTGAGTTATCCTTAATAATGCATATTTAATTGACTTCGACTACATTGATGATGTTCTCATTTTATCTATAATCTATAACTAAAATATATTTTTTAAAGTTTTTGTCTGTCTGTCTGCCTGTCTGTCTGTCTGCCTGTCTGTCTGTCTGTTTGTTCCGGCTAATCTCCGAAACGGCTGGAACGATTTTGACGGGACTTTCACTGGCAGATAGCTGATTTCATAAGGAGTAAATTATTTTTCTAAAATAAAAGTAGCCTAAGTTACTCCTTATGAATAGCTATCTGCCAGTGAAAGTCCCGTCAAAATCGGTCCAGCCGTTTCGGAGATTAGCCGGAACAAACAGACAGACAGACAGACAAAAACTTTAAAAATTATATTTTAGTTATAAGTACCGTATTTACTTTCATATGCATTAAGTAAAAACTATAATTTTGACATTACAAACAGACACTTCAATTTTATTTATTTTTATAGATTATAGATTTTAGCATAATACACAAATCATATTTTAAACTACACATCAACATCATAACGACATTTTGCAACATGTGACATAAGAATAACACTTATCTATTGTTAACGCTCATCCGGGTGTTGCTACCAGCAGAAAAACGAAAACAGGTTCTTCATCAGCACCTCCTATCGCGTTATAGAACGAACATCTAATTTCTTATTTATGCGATATTAGATGCTTTTTGTGTCTAAAAGATTAACTTCAATATCCGGAATTGCGGGTCGCTGGACTAAAAGCAAAACACAGCCAATTATGGTTGGTCATCAATATGTATTAGGATAGCCGACACCCGACAGTCTCATTAGGTTTGTAGAGCGTGGAAGGCGTCCGTGAAAGGGGTGCAATGGCCTAGTGCGTTCTTGTCGTTGAGAAGTGTTCGCAACGACAACGTCAAGTGGCGCACGGCATACATTCCTGTCAGCTGCGTCGCCCACTTCTTGCAACGGACACAAGTAGAGACGCATTTCCTGCCGCAATTACGACTACGTTACTAACCTACTAATCGGCAAAACGTCAGCTTACCTCACACCATATTTACTTGGTCAAAGAAAATATTAATGAATAGATAATTAGGAGTGCGCCTTTAAAATCTACACTATTAATATGCAGTATGATTAAAATTGAAATGTTTTTGTGAAAGTTTGTACCTACCTGTTGGAGATGCAGGCAAACCGTTTTAGGTATTACTTATTTATTCATTCTTTTATTTTGTACTTTAATTAAAACGGTTAAACCAGTTACCTACATTAATTAAAGACTATATTAATTCTTCTCGCCCACAAAACTTCAGACCATCCGACATTTAGGATTTAAACCGTTTTATTACCATTCTAAATGTTTTATTTATGGAAAAAGTGCACAGTTATTTATGTTATGGGTAAAGCGTGACATTTATTTATAAACAGGGTTTAAAATTTGTCAAAAGATTTTCACGACAGTCGTTTCGACACAAGAATAGCAGAAAATTTGAATAGCAAAAAATATGTATAATATGCAAAACTTAGAGTAATATAACATTATTTTAAATTTTAGTCAAAGTTATGTATAAAAGCAATATCATATTATGACTACGATGAAAGTAAAATACAGATAGGGAACACTTTTTGAGAGGTGTGTGAAAAGTAAACCTACTTAATGGTAAGAGTTAAGACTCAAAAGTTTTTGCCTGTATCCCTATGTACTATTTCTACAGTTTTACTTCAGTCTACAGTTTTAGACTTCCTCATAATGTTCCACTTAAAAGAAATACAACATAGTGATGATGTACTAGTGAAATACATACTTAACGTAATTTATATTGCACTTGGCATTATTTATTTTAAATTTGTAAGACAGTAAATACAAAGTGTAAAATGTTTAGGTAATTTAACAACTTAATAGACATAGTACTAGATAAATTCTAATATTCCTACAAGGTTGTCGTAATTATATTTATAATATTATAATTGCATATTGTGTAGCTCAATCGTTTAATCGCGTATTTAATGGCTTTTGTTGAACGCCTGCCTAAAGCGAAGAGCTGAGTGAGTAGCCATCAAGTTAAACAATTATTATCATAGTTTGGTAGGTCAACCTTGAGTTTGGTGGAAGTTTAGTTAAAGTCATAATGCAAAATTCAAATGCTATAATTTCCTTGTTACATGTCAAGTAAGGTCAAGTAATCAATCGGAATTTTCGTAACGTCCAACAATAAGTGTGATCGTATCACATTGTCAGTCATTTAAAATTCCACAGCACGGGTGTACCGGTACCGCGTGTTAGCATTTGAAGAAAAAGTTTGCAAATTAAACCCATATTACACATCATTATTGTTACGTAAATTACATATACCTAACTATTTTAAAAGCTATTTATAAATTATTACTCTATTCTTCAGTAAGAAATAACAATATGCCAATATTGTTATTTTTTACTGAAGAATTTACAGTGGTAGAGCCATGCGGCAGCTTTTGCTGTCGCACGGATGGGCCGGCTCGAACCGGGGTAGTACCACGACCTCACAGAAAACCAGCGTGAAGTAGAGGTTTACCTCTGCGTTTCGCTTGGTGAGTGCAAGTGGCCGGAGGCCCTTTTTACTGGAAATGAGGCATTCCATCTTAGTCCTCACGGGTGACAACGCATCTAACAGATGATAGATGTAGATGTCTATGGGCCGCAGCAACCACTTACCATCAGGTGGACTGTGTGCTCGTTTGTCACCCCTATACTATAAAAAAAAAGAAAAATATTTTACAAATTATAAAATTAAGTTTAATATCATACGTTTGTCCATATTTTTACCTAAGTACATGTCTACACCTACTTAACGTATGTTATAATTTTAAGTTCCACATAGAATTTTATGTGAAATGTAATTGAAAAATGGTTTTTTGCAGGAAAATGAGTTCATTAAGCAAAGAATCGCTCGTGGCAACGTCCGGTATATTTGGACGTCTGGTCGCAAATGCAACTTCGCCGGTTGTGACCGTCCGGACTTGCAGCCACCCAATGTGAATGGCTGGTTTTGGTCCGGTTCTGGCGCAAAGATCGGTCCGACCACACAACGTAACACTGGCGATTGGTCTTACACAGGCGGGTATGGCCAGCCTCAACCGGACAATAGAGAAGCCGCTCAGGTAAGCTCGTCAATTAATGTGATTTTATAGTTACAATGTTCGACTTTATTCAAAAAATATAGTTAGTACAACTTATAAAGTGAGAAAATAATATGTTGATCGGAAAAATGCATCCGTTATACACTTGGCTTATATCTCGGGTCACAATTTAAAATTTTAATTTGCATTTTTATTTCACAACATTACTTACGCCATAAATTTCATCACTTACGATTTAAAGATGAGAAAATTACGAATCACGCATTGTGAATTAATGGTCAATCACGACCAACAAATCAACACTCGCCGTGGGAGATCTGATCAAATTGCGATTTTGTTATGATGAAATCCCACCTCACGACATGCTCATTGCGATAGGATCAGTAAAATTCATTATCGAAATAACGAATACATATTCAAACATTTTCAGTAGCAACTTATGCACGATTATTTCATTTCAAAAACTCTACGACCCGTTTATTTTTAATAATATATTATGTAATAAAAACAGTTTTTAAAGAATTTTCTATTTGTCCCTAGGGCAATGACGAGTCTTGTCTGTCAATACTCAACAATTTCTACAACGACGGCCTCAAGTGGCACGACGTGGCCTGCCATCATGTAAAGCCTTTCGTTTGCGAGGACAGCGACGAGTTGCTTAACTTCGTACGTTCCAGAAATCCAGGTCTCCGTATATAGAAGCCAACTGTCCGTGTTACAAATATCACCCCTTCGCCTTCTTGTATGAGATGGCTGACATTGTACAAAATTATGTGACTTCTCTATTTAAGTTATTTATTTTAAAAATAATTATATTCTCATATTGGGTATACAACATAGGTAAGCGTCAATTTATGAAAGTGTTTATACATTCTGTAGATAGATATGAAAATTACCTACCTAATATTTGAAACGAGGTCAGTCATCCTGTAAAAAAGTCGTTTTGCACAAATTAGTATTAACTATACAAAATAGAATAAAGTAATATTAATTTATAAAGTTGTGTTTTATTGTTTGGTTTTTTCAAAAAATAGCTACGGAAAAAAAATAAACGATTGAAGTGGCGAGCGGAGCGCAGTCTGTGGTTAGGAATTAACTAGGGTACAACAAAAAAATCTTGACCAAAATAAAAATAACAATGGATAATTTTGATTTTAATTTGGAGTTTGATCTTTCAAGATGAATTTAAAGTTGAAAAAGAATTCCAATATTTATTACGACTTTCGTTGTGATAGATAGGTACCTACAATAAGATAGACTTTGCTGTTCTATAATGAAGGATAAAGACCTATCACGTGCCCATGCCATTGATTCAATGACCTTAGGTATATTATATAAGACACATTTATCATTTTTTCACACATTCATCAATAAAACACTTTATACATATAGATACAATTTAAGTGTCTATCTGTAATATCGAAATAACTGCCTTTTATCGAGCTCAGGGAGAGTTATTTGCATGCTAATAGGACATGAATAAATAAATTTGTAAAAACAATTATCTGTCTATCCGAGCATCGGAAAGGCTGAACCAATTGTAATGAAACTTCACAGACAGATATAGACCATTTTATCTTATACGAAAAACTTGGGGTTTGTTTAAAAAAAAACGAAAAATCTATACAAATCTTAAATATAAATAACGTTACATTAATAGGTGAAGTCTAAGGTCGCTAATTTAAAACCTACAAATTTAACATAAACAGGTTAACACTCATAGTTTTGTCGTAAAGTTATATATAAGTAAAAAAAAAATTGCATGATTTTCGGATAAAATATAGATAACTTTGATCCCTCCTGGCCTTGCTCAGATCGTGAAGCATCATCACTTAGCCCGGACCGACGCAGCCAATTTTTTTAAAAATAGTTAATCATGTCTTAATAACATGCATAAAACTAATTGTACCTACGGGTTTAATCGCATTTAATTTTGATTATTTTTTAATTCAAGACGTTTCGATATACGAGTACATATCGTCATACGTCTATCCTTTATTAAGAATCAAAATGCAGATGAACCAAGATGAAATGCCTCGTTTCTAGTTAAAAAGGTCTCGGGTTCTCTGATAATGTCCTCCAGACTGAATTTCGGTCACGGCGTCCAGCCTGAACGGAGACTGGGACATCTTAGGTTTTCTTTTTGCGTACAGCTGGACTCCCGACGACCGGGGGAATCTACCGCCGACCATCTCGCGGTGTGAATGCGCAAAGCGGGATGTTCGGTTCACATAGTGCTCAGTGCGTAAGGCACTACTGTTCCTGGATGTCCATAAGTGGAGTGGGCCTGATGGAATCCCCCCAATTGTGCTGAAGACGTGCGCTCCAGAGTTAGCACCGGTTTTTACGCGTCTTTTTTGATTCTCTTACTCTTTAGGAGTCCTTCCAAGCTCATTGAAAACAGCCTCATTGCACCCGATCCTAAAAAAAGTTGACAGATCGGAACCGTTCAACTACAGGCCTATCGCCTTCACCTCTTTGTTCTCCAAAATAATGGAATCCATTATTACGAGGGCTGCACTAAAAGTATCGGGAATAGAATATTTCCACTCTTCCTGTCATATTCAAATCTTTTTAATTGGAAACCCCTTGGTTTTAAAAATCGAATACCACTTATTTATTTAAAAAGATCTTCTCGGTCTTGCCACAAGGTTTTATCAAACTTGTTTAGTCGTTGAGAAAATGGAATTAACTCGAGAAAATTCAAGAATGAGGATTTATTATGACTTTCGAAGTGGTTTAACACAAAAACTGATGATTTCTGCATTTGGTGATGAAGCTCCATCCAAAACCACAATTTATCGCTGGTTTGCTGAATTTCAACGTGGACGTGTCAAGCTCAGTGAGGATCCCCGTCAAGGTCGTCCAAAAACTGCAGTCACCCAAGAAAACGTTGATGCTGTGCGTAAGCTGATTGAGGAAGATCGACATGTGACATACCGCGAAATTCAGGCAACTTTAGACATTGGCATGAGTCAAATACAAATAATCTTGCATGAACAATTAGGTGTAAAAAATTGTTTTCCCGATGGATACCGCATTCGCTCTGTGAAGAGCAAAAAGCGGCTCGCGTTACTTGGTGCGTCAGAACTCTCGAAAGATTCCACGCAGGATCCTCAAATGCTGTATACAACATCGTATCAGGTGACGAATTCTGGATATACGCGTACGAACCCGAAACAAAAAACCAGTCACGAGTTTGGGTGTTCGAAAATGAGTTAAAGCCAACAAAAATTGTTCGTTCACGCAGTGTTGCAAAAAAAATGGTGGCCACGTTTGTCTCCAAAACCGGCCACGTTACGACTATTCCTCTTGAGGGACAAAGAACGGTTAATGCAGAATGGTATGCTAGCATTTGTTTGCCACAGGTCGTTTCTGAACTCCGTAAAGAGAACTGCAACCGCCGCATCATCCTCCATCACGACAATGCGAATTCTCACACTGCACACAGAACAAAAGTTTTTAGAGCAAGAAAACATAGAATTATTAGACCATCCGCCGTACAGCCCCGACCTAAGCCCTAATGATTTCTATACTTTCCCTAAAATAAAGAATAAATTGCGTGAACAGAGATTTTCATCACCTGAAGAAGCTGTGGACGCCTACAAAACGGCCATTTTGGAGACCCCAACTTCCGAATGGAATGGTTGCTTCAATGATTGGTTCCATCGTATGGAAAAATGTGTCAAATTTCGCGGAGAATACTTCGAAAAGCAATAAATACATTTTTAAATAGTAATGTTGTGTCACTTCCTTGATTCCCGAAATTTTCAGTGCCGTCTCGTAACTGCCAGATCATGACATAAAGCGCTTCTTCCAACGCTTCCCTCTTATGGACTTACGAAGAAATTATGCAATTAGGTTACCAGTTTTTTACAGATCGGAGTATTAAGGTCGTAAGCGACGGAGCATGCTCCGCAAGCACATCATTTTGACTCCTAGCTTGTGAACGAGAGACGTACAGTACCGTATCAACGAAAAGCGGCCCAAATCATCGACGACCAAGTTCTTTCCGATCTTCTAGATACACTGGCCTTGCGAATAAAGGTTGCATTTATTCTACGCATCTTCTACCACATTTAACACGGGGAATGCTCAGAGAAATTGTTTGGATTAATTCCAGCTGCTGAATTCCACCATCTTACACTGCACTAGAACTCGAAATTCAATCAAAAGTGTGATTTACTCGGAATTTTTTGGCTCGCACAACCACACTGTGGAATTCCCCGCACGTCCCTTTGTAACCTTGTGCCCCTATCCGCCACTGAACATTGAGCTATTCTGTGAGAGCGTAGTCCTTCCCTGGTGGAACCGACCCATTCGTGCTACAACCACAATACAGCTGCAACATGGCTCTACCTCGTGTATAAATATCTTGGATTTTGTAGTAGTATGCTCGGGTTTGGATTTAATTTTAATTATGGGGTCACGCAGATAGTAGCACCCACAGTGGCATAGCTACCCAGGGGCTACGCGAGGCAGTACCCCGGGGCTCCCAAGCTAAAGGGGCCCCTCGGCCTCCAAGAACGACGTTCGAAGCTCGTTTCTTGAAAGTCCCTAAATGGTATCGATTTGTGAAATGCGTTGATGAAATTGCCCGTGGTAAATGCGCTAGAAAATGCAAAGGGATGCAACATCTCTTCGTGTCGTCTTTCGTCTTCGTCGGTCGTCGACGAATTGAGCCACTGTGCGCAGGATGCATATATTATTATACTTAGTCGCCCCAATCCGAGACCTTATCCGACACAAGTTTGTTCCGGTACTCGGCGTTTTCGCGAGAAATATAAGCACAACCGGTGTATAAAGCATCACCAGTGCACTTTACTGGTTTGCAACATATTATTGATAAGCAGAAGAAACAGCGTAGGTGATAGTTCGTTTCACAAGGCCTGTGGAACACCAGCATAAATAGGCTTGTAAATGGACCATTCACCTTATACCACGACTTTGTTGCTCCAATCTGCAAGAAAACTGCTGATCATGATCTCTGCAAATGGGGCTTGTTGTAGCATGGGGTCTCCAGCAATTTGGGCGTGATCTATGAGATGGTCTGTGTCAGCATTACCTATAGAGGCACTCATAGACGCGAGAATCGTCGTCGCTGACCTTCAACTGACTGTCGAGGCGTCGAGAACAGATTTCCTCTCTGACGTATACGCAAACTCCAACCCGAGGCACAAAGGTGTTCTAATTTGTACCCCGGATAGGAAAGAGGTATTAACCGGAGAGGACACCTGCGTCTCAGTTAGAAAGAGCAAGGTCGGCTTCGTCGTCTTCAGGTGGTACCTAGTGGACTTTGTTAATGTTCGAATGAAATCCCCTGATGTTGCAGAAATTGACGGATAGCGTGGCAGGGGTCACCTTTATCTTATTGCTCTACTTACCACGAGCAGTATTAGTCTTGTGTGGAATCCCCACCCCCCAGAATATCCCAGGAGGATACCAGGGGTGCTGGTACCCTCCTGGAATGGTTTTTAATTTAACTACACTACCGTGTTAAGGGGGAGAGGGGTTAGGCTTCCGACCACTTGAATGCTGATACTTGAATTTTCAAACTAAGCTTCCTGATGTAGACAAATTTTATAAAGTGCTCATAAGTCGAAACTTTTTTTTTATTTTTGGCCACTAACAAATAACTAATACGGTTTACTTATTTACCCCGTGTTGTACTTTGTACATTGACCAGTTTATTACGCATT